TTATGCTCAAAGATTTTGGAGATGAGATCTCTGTGAAGTTGTAGGTGTTCTGCATGTACCTCATTTCCTACATGTTTTTTTTTTTCTTTTGCAGTTATTGGATGGGTACAAGATATACCTGTTTCTCTAGGGCAGAGTAGGTGTCTGAATGTTTACTGCATGAAAACTTTGAAATGATCATAATGGTCTAAGCAGCTCTGTTTCTAAGCACTAACTTAGGAAGTAAAGTGAGCTTTATTATTTAATTTTTTCCTCTTTCCACATATCAGCCTCAGCCCTGTTGTGTCAGGCTTACTGCTAAAGTCATTAATGATGTTCACTTCTGGTTTGTGACGCAGAGCAATTCAACAGAATGATGGGAGGAAATCATTTCATTGCTGAATACCATTTCCAACAAAAATGGCACCATGACATACACTAAGCTGCCTAAAACAAGCATGAGGGTTGTCTTCTTTTGGGAGACAGAAACAAACTTTCATCAGAATTAACTTAAGCCATTTCTGTGTGCCTTTCTACCTGCTTTGCAAACATGAAGCCCTGAGTTCATACCCCAGTCTCCCACCCACCCCCCCAAAAAAAAAAAACAATGTAGTAGCAGTGATGGTCACTGGGTGTAAAATGGGAAATAACAAGTACTGTTGGGTTTCTTCTGTCTCCTGTTTTCTTCAGTGACTTTGCATTATTTTGATGAAAAGTCAACTCTGTAAAAAGACAAGCCTCAGAGCTATAAAACGTTCAGGTGGTTTGGGGTGGGTTTTATTTGTTTTTTACAGTACTGGGGTATGAACTCAGGGCCCTGTGTTTGCTAGGCCCTAACACTACCACTTGAGCCTCACACCTAGCCCTTTTTGCTTTAGTTATTTTTCAGATAGGGTCTGAAGCTTCTGCCCAGAGCCAGCTCAGACACTGAGCTTCCTACTTCTCCTTCCCTCATTAGGGTGAGCGAACCAGACCAGCCTTTAGTCTTCCTTTTTGACAGGTGTGGCAGCTCTTTGAGCTTTTGAAAGAGACCACCCGGGAGCACCTGCGGGAACATCATACTCTCCTGCACTCTGTACATCTTTCAGGGCCTGGACTGGATGATTCACATACCCTAGAGAAGTTACTCTTGAATAATGCACTTCAAGTCTCTTTTTTGCTGTATCTTGAGACCCTAGCTCCTGTTATAGCTTTAATTATGGCACTCATCAGACTAGTCTGTCTTACTCTCACCCCCTTCCACCAGCTGCCCCCTGAAATGCAGTTCACTTCCCTGATCAGCTTCCTTTAGGCTCTTGCCAGAGTTCCTGGCATGTGAATGCTTAGCACCCTTCCCGCTCCTCTGTTCAGGATCCCCTGCTGCCCACTGAGCCCTCCTCCTGCCCGAGGACTTTGCACCTCTCTTCTGCACTCTTCCCACTCATGCTGCTTATCACACTCCCTCCTCTCCCAGGTCTTCACTGGGAGGCCCAGGGTGCACACAAGAGCTCAGACCTATGTTCCCGGAGCACCTGATGTGTTCAGGTACACGCTCAGGTCCATTCTCCAGAGCTACTTGGTGGCAGTGACCACATGTTCTTCAGTGTGCTTATAATGTGAAAGAGGCTTAATAAGTCTCTACCAAATGAAGAAGTAAGAGGTATTCCAAATTCTAACATTTCTCCTTTCATCAACTCTGAAAGTAAGTACTTAGGCAAGAATCAATAACCTGAGACTATATTAAAGTGGAAAGTGGAACTTAATCTTTGGAACTTTTGCTCTGTACTTCTGAGCCTTATTCTTCTGAGAAGAGGAGGAGATCCTGTGTTGGGACAACCAGCTGTTCACGAGATATATCATAATGTCACTGTCTTCCAAGCTGTGCCTTCATTTCTTCATCTAGAAAAGGAAACTAAAAAGGATGTCTCCTTCAGGGAGGTTGTGAGGCAGTATATGTAAGGTGCTTAGAATGTAGTCATTTCAGTTGATGTTTGAGTTGCGCAGGCAACTGTGAAAAAATGTATGCCCTTAGTGGGAAGAAAGACAAGAAGCAAATAAGGAGTGATAAGAGACAGGAAGGAATACAGCAGGGCATAAGAGGATAGACTGTCATGGGGAGGGTCAGACCAGGGACTACCACCTCTGATGACATGGTGACTGGTTGAAAAACCTGAAAGGAGGGAATCTGGGATGAGGGCATGCTCAGAAGTGTGGGCAGCAGGAGGAGCCAAGGCCCCTCCCCAGCAGAGGGCACTAGGATCCAGTGGCAGAAACTGAAGCAAGAGGATGGGGTCTGTGCTTGGTACCTGGAGGTGTCAGGGTATAGACTGGGGCTTTTATTCTGAATGGGACTGGAATAACAGCAAGGACTGAAGTCATTGATGTTTCCTGAGTTTTTTTTTTTTTTTCTCTCCTGTATTTAACAAAAACATTTCCTTAACTATCCCTCCGTGATTTAGCCCAGAGCAAGTCATTTAGTTTTTTTCTTTGATTTTAGTCCACTGAAACCCCAGGAAAGATTAAGTCTTCTTTAATCAATATACCTATAATTTACCTCTAAATGTCAAGAAAGTGCTCTGGAATTTTGGAAAGTGATACAAACATCTGGAATTACTGTTATTGCTGAGTGATTCCTGTGCTTCTGATACATTGGTACTTGGACTTAGGTTGAACATGCTTACTGCCCTTTCTAATGTTCCAGGGATCAACATTGGGTGAGTCAGCTGCTTCAACAGCTACAGATTGTCTTGTTTTCTCCTGAAACGTCATGTTTGGGTGATAAGTCACTTGTCATCCACCTCACTGGCAGCTCAGTGTGAGGGAGAGGAGGAGCACTGTGTATAGACAAAATGTGTCAGTGTCAAGTGAAGCTCATGTTAATGAAGCAATGCCAGTTCAGCAGACTGGACAGACTTCTAAGGGAATAAATACCATCAGTCATCACCCGTGATGTTGTGAATCAATCCTGGAGTGACTTAAACTATAAACAGCCCTTGTCAGACACTTTCCAGCTAAAGACTTTTAAATGAGGCTGAGTGGTGCGATTGGACTTGTCTGAATGCAGGTAATACTCAGCCAGGTGGTTTTTCCTTTTCTTAAGATTTTGCGTCTAGTGCTTGGTATATCCATTGGTAAGAAATACCACAAAATACTAGATTTGGAAAGAATAAGAAATCATTACATTAGCCCTCTGCCACATTCAAATATGAACAATCACTAAAAATTCTCCAGTTTTTCAAAGACAGATTTCTCTACTTAGAAATCCTGAAGCCTCTTATTATGCATAATCAGCTTAAGCTTGGGAAGTTCTTCCTTATGTCTGGACCAAGTCTTCCATGGTTTGAATGCATGTCTTTTCATCTGTGCAAATGGAAAACAGCTGCCATCCTTTCCTGATAACAACTTGTGTATTTGAAGGCAGTTATTAAGTTCCCCCCAGCCTTCTTCCTCTGGACTAAGTTATGCCTTTAACCCATCTTCAAAGTTTCCCTTTCCCACCCCTTTAATCATCTCTTGACCTCCCTAAGCCTTTCTGCATTCTTCTTTAACTGTGGATTCCTAACTGGAGGATAATACTCTGCAAGTCTCACCATGCACTGAGGTTGCTTCCTCTTCAGGTGGTCCTATGTCATTGTCATTCATAAAGGAAGTGCAGTGTTATCAGCATCCTAAAAGATGAGCCTTAGGACTCAGAATTCCTTACCTGAACTGGACCTAGCTTTGTGGCCACAGGTGCCAGTTTTGGAGTCTGAGGCCTTTAGAAGCCAAGCCCCAATCTACTCTAGGAGACACGTGCAGCGCACCCCTGCCTCCCGCCTCCCTTTCTGGGTTTAGCAGCTGTTTCAGTGCACAGGAGTCCTTTCCCAGGACTCTCCTGTGCTGTGCTTCTTGCTCCATGTCTAAGTCAAAGGGACACAGAGTGATTATGAAACGCTTTGGGTCTCACTTCCTCTCCTGTTGAGGTTAGATAGATAGATATGGGATAAGAGGCATCGCTTCCTGCGTCTGATCTCATTGAAATCACAGAAGGGGGAAGACCTCGGAAGGTAAACAGAAATTAGCTGTCTAGTGCCGGTTGTTTAGGAGAGGTGCAGTGTCATTGAAGTCGTCTTGATCATATACCAGCTCTGTTGTTTGGGACTTCGATTGGTTCATTGATATGACCTCTCTCTATCCCTTTCCCCCGTCTTGATCATATACCAGCTCTGTTGTTTGGGACTTCGATTGGTTCATTGATATGACCTCTCTCTATCCCTTTCCCCCTATGTTTTCCCTAAAAACTTAAAACTCCTTGGGTGGAAACCATGACTGTTAGTTGAGGTAGGTATGCTATTCATTTCTTACTTCCATAGGCTTCTCTTGTTGAAGCAGAGCCCAGCTCAGATACTCAGGTAGTGCGTTCTTCTGTTGTCCCTGAAAGAAACAGGGATGGAGGCATTGGTGTGGGCCTTGAACAAGTGCAGACAAGAGGGCCAGAAGGCTTATGTGGCAAGACTCCCTCAGTTAGCCTGGCTGTCTTTATGTGTGTCAGGCTAATAGTGATGGGAAGTGATAGGAAATCCTTATCGTATTTCCCCTTCAGATATTAGGCCTTACTAAACGATGCCTCACAGGTGGTAATTGGCCTTGCACTTTTGAGAAATGTAATGTAAATTGTGCGTTGCCACCAAGAATTGTGGATACATGGCACATCAGGTTTTGGATAATTGATCACTGGAGTCATTCTGAATTTATGAATGCAGCACAACTTGGCTACGTTTTACAATAGTGCCAACTGTGTGCTCTCCCAGTCTTCTCAAGGCGTGAGGTGGCTTATTCTTGGTTCCATTCTGATTCATCACCAGGATATTTATCTACAATGAAAAGATACTTAGCAGGGCACCTAATTGTTTCCCTTCTTCAGTAAGATTTAGAATTCTAAATCAGGCTTAAAGTGTCTTCTTTATCCCTGAGCAGACCTTGTGAGCGCCCACTGTACTGTGGGGTAGGGAACCTGCAGGCAAGCAGGCAGTGCTGACTTCTCCATTGTTTTCCTTGTCCAGTCTAACAGGCAGCCAGCTAAGTTGAACCTCCTCACCTGCCAGGTGAAGCCAAATGCTGAGGACAAGAAGTCTTTCGACCTGATCTCACGTGAGTCTTTTATAAAAACTCTCTGAGTTGGTTACTACAGACTCTTTTTAACACATTTCCATTCTCTGGATAGTGAAGCAGCAGTTTTTCAAGCAGGACTCCTCAGAGTCATTCCTGAACAGCCTTTTGTGTTCCTGCCTGTGCTTCTCTAGGAAGTCCTCTAAAGTTTTGTTTGTGTTTATTTGGTTTTTGTTTTGAGACTGGGTCTCACTATATTGCCCAGGCTGGCCTCAACACCTGGGCTCAAGCAATCCTTCTGCCTCAGCCCCCTGAGTAGCTGGGACTACGGGTGCACATCAGATTTTTCGAGCGTGCTGAGCCCACCTATAGCTGGGAAGGCCTGACAGTGTCAGATCTGGTCAGACAAATCTGACACAGATAAATATTTATTTACTTACTTTTTGGCAATACTGGGATTTTAAGCTCAGGGCCTAGGCAGGTGCTCTACCACTGAACCACACCCCTATCTCTTTTTTTTGCATGTTATTTTTTGTATAGGGTCTCACTTTTTTCCCCCAGGGGCTGGCTTTGGACCACAATTCTCCTACCTGTACTTCTCATGTAGCAGGAACCACAGGTGTACCATCATGCCCAGCTTATTTGTTGAGATGGAGGGCTTACTAACTTTTTGCCCAGGCTAGCCTTAAATTATAATGCTTTCAATCTCGGCCTCCTAAGTAGCTGAGATTACAGGTGTGAGCCACTATGCCTGGCCTAGCATCTGACCATATTTAGAATGTGAATAGATTCTAGGTTTGTTAGTACATTGAACTAATTGGGTGCTTATCCATTAGTACACAGCTTTATCCCTTTTTGCTCTGGCTCCCATGGATGTACTTACTGCCCCCACACTGCAGCTGAAGAGACGCCTCCTTGTAAAGAGCAGCTATCAGGGATAGTGAAGCGATTCACTGCTGTCCTGAAATCCTGCAGCACATGCGGTATTGTTCCCTCTCAGGCCCAGCAAGGCAGGCCAGCAACCAGAGAACATGATCTATGTGTAGAAGTGCAAAAAATACATTCCTGCCCTTGAAATCCTTCTGGTGCACTTGTGTGCCTGGACGCTCAAAAACAGTCCTAACCCAAAAGATGGAGTGATCCTTGAGTCTCTTATGATGCACTGAGCTGGATTCTGCAGCATCTCTGTAGAATTCAGTTGGAATTACAATTTGGCTTCAAAAAGCCAAGAACCCCTAAATTTTGAGAATCTGTAGGTTATTAGTAACATTTGTTAGTTGTTAAGCATATAATGTGCTGGGTGCTTTATTATTTATACATGTGCTTTTTATATATTGTTGCCAATTCTCACAAAATCCCTACCAGTTTCCCATTTTACAGAAGAAGAAACAGGCTTAGAGAAGTTTGGTGACTTGCACAAGTTCATATAGCAATAAAGTAGGGATTTATTGCTACTCTGTGTTGCTACTACCCATGTGTATGCTGTGACATACTCATTGTCTTGCTCTCTGAGGGATGTGAATGCCCAGCCTCAAGTAGTCACATAAGGAAGTGCTAAGTAAATGTTTTTTTATCTAAATATTTGAAACATACTTGTAAATCTTGAATCTTAACAAAGTACTTTCCTCATGGACACCTTCCCAGGCCTTTCCTTCCCATCCCTGGTGGCAGAGATTGACCCTCTTTCTTCCTTGGAGCCTAGTTCAACCAGAATCAGGCCAAGCACCAGCACTAGGAGGAAATTGTGCAGAGCTACACTGCAGGTGGAGTCCCAGACGGGCAGGAAACTGAGGCTCCTTTCTGAAAAGGAGATACTAGCACACTCCACTGTGTCACTGCAACCCATCTGGGTCAGATGGAGCCTCTCCCCCACCCCCGTTGTTTCAAAAGAGGTGCCTAATGTGTGCATGGTATTTGTAATATATCATTGTATTCCTTTTGCACTTAAGAAAAATAATATTGAAAAAAATGGGTTGTTTGGCTGCTAAAACATAGTGATGTAAAAAAAAAATTCCTGCTTATACTGCGTGGGTTTTTTTGTTTTGTTTTGTTTCTTTTCAGGAACTTTAAAAACCTTCATTTTGCCTAGAGATACTCTGCTTTGTGAGGTTTCACTTTTTTTCTCTCTTTTGTATTTAGATAATAGGACTTACCACTTTCAGGCAGAAGATGAGCAAGATTATATAGTGTAAGTAGTTTTGATATAACAGCCCTGTGCCTTAAATTGAAAATGCAAACACTTGTAGTGGCTCTCTGCGGTCCTTTCCTGCTGCCTCTGGGCTTTCACACTTTGTTATTGTTTCTTCTGGGGTCCTCTGTCCTGTCTGCCCAGGAAATGCTAGTGTCTGCTGTAAGATTCAGGTCAAGCCTTGGCATCCCAGGATTATTGCTCCATCCTCCTGCCCACGGTCCATCACATTACTCTGCACTCCTGTGGTACATGTCCACAGCCCTCTAGAAACAAAGGGCTTCTTGAGGAAAGGGCTGTGGTTCACCCAGCCTTCCATCACACTGCCTGCACTTGGAAAAGGCCTGCTTGCTCAGTACTGATGCCCAAGTGCACGAGCCAGTCTCCCTGCATGCTTGGCTGCATGCTGGGAAGTAGGGCAGCCTCAACTGCAAGGAAGAACACTGGCAGTAGCCTCTCACTGGGCAATGCTGCACAGGTAGAGGGAGCCCAGTGCCAGGGGAGGAATCAGGTTGGGTGTCCCATGCTACTGGCTTGTAGTCCTGAGCCAGCTCCTTCTCTTTTCCTTCCTGGAGTCTGCCTGGACTGTGAAAGGCAACATGTGATTATTGGACTCTCATCTGCTTACATTGGTATAAAAGCAGGCCATTAAGCCTTTTTTAGTACTTTTTTTTTTTTTTTTTTTGGTGGTGCTGGAGTTTGAACGCAGGGCTTTTATGTTTGTTCAGCAGGTGTTCTACCACTTGAGCCACACCTCCAGTACTTTTTACTGTGGTTATTTTGGAGATAGGGTCTCACTTTTTACCCATGCTGACATGGATCGTGATCCTCCTGTGTTATGCTTCCTGCCATAGCAAGAATGGTGAACACACCACTACACCCAACTTCTTTCTGTTGAGAAGGGGGTCTCACAAACCTTTTTTTTGCTCCGGCTGGCCTGGAACCATAATCCTTCCAATCTCAGCCTCCCATATAGCTCGAGATGACAGGTGTATGCTGTAACACCAGCTGTTGGTTGAGATGGGGTCTCACAAATGTTTTGCCCAGGCTGCCCTCAAACCACCATCCTCCTGATCTCAGCCTCCCCAGTAGCTAGGATTACAGGTCTGAGTCACTGATACCTGGATTTTTTTTTTAACAACTGCTATTTATTTACTTGTGGTACTGGGAATTGAACCCAGGGCCTCATGCTTACTAGGCAAGCATTTTACCACTTGAACTGCACCTCCAGCCCACATTTTTCTTATTTCTAACAAGCTCTTGGAGTAATATGGACCAAATTTCATGAACTATGGTAGTTCTTGCCCCGTCAGTGATACACAGTAATTATTATTTTGTATCTTCTAATTATTATTTTCTACTTCCAGAGCTACACAGAATTCTGTTCACACCCATTTCACCTGACATGTCTTCTTTCCTTCTCTCTCTCTCTCTCTCTCTCTCTCTTACACACACACACACACACACACACACACATATATACTTCTTTGCAGTGTTGTACTTTTTTCCCCACCTCAGACAGAGAATAATAAAGGAATCTGAAGGAGAATAGGAAACTGAAAGAAGCTATGTAGAGTTGGGAGAAACAGCAAAGAGGGAAAGAAACAGATGAGAGAGAAATAAGACAAAGACAGCAAGATTCACGTATCAGTTCATCCATCTGAATACTTAACACCAGCTAGGTGCCAAGAACTCACTAAACAGAGTCCAGCCCTCCAGGAGAAGATAAGCAGTGTAACATGGTGCAGGTGCTAAGTGCAAGGACAGAGGCAGAGGAAGCTATGTGCTGGGGAAACCTATGCTCAGTCTGCACACCCCTTTGGGTTCTTAAGTTGTTGCTCAGAAATTATTTCCCAGAGGAAGGTAAGCATGAGCTGGCTCAAGAAGGTGTAAATAATCTCCCTTCAGGTAGGAAGACCTGATGGGAGGAGCAACAGGATGGCTTAATGTTTTGGGTATAATGTCAACTGAAGGGTGGCTAGGAACCACATGAAAAAGGGAGACGTCAGGAGGCTTGTCAGGTTCTGAGACAAAAATTCTGTTCATTGAGATCATACTTTGCAAAGTATACTTTGTACTTCATTAATCCTCACAATCCCAGGAAGCACAAACTTTAATCCCTAATTACAAATGAGGAAACAGGCCTGGTGTGCCCATGGTCACAAATCCTAGTACTAGTACACTAGGACTGCCAGGCAGAACTCCATTATAGAGGGGAATATTGATTCCCCTCTATAATTCCACTCTTTCGTCTTTCCCCTTCCTCAAAGCCCTAAGTAGAAGGCAAGTGAGAAATTTGTGTGAGGCAGGGAATGTATCCATTTCATCTTTGTTCCCTTCTAGCTCAAGCCCAGGCCTTCAATGTATCATTTACTCTTATAATCTAAAAGTAATTCAGTCCATTCTGTTAGACATGTTGGCTTCTTGCCTATAGGCTGTAACACTCTTGGGGTTGGGGTTAGGGTTAGGGTTTCTTAGTGCACACAGAAATTGGTACACATTTTGCACATTGAATCTCTTTGGGTGTGATGGTGATAGGGGACTTCATCTTGAGTGGTGCAGTAGGCAATGGTAGTACACAGAGAAAGTACGGGCCCCAGTTCCATTTACCTCCAGATTTGCACAAAAGCAGCTTCACTGCATCGAGTTTCTTTCCTGTGTGAAAATGTCCAGTGAAATTAAATGAAGAAATTCCTCTCAACCAAGGAAGGAGGTAGGAATCAAAAAGAGCAGATGCATGTTTGAAGTTCAGTGACTTGCCTTCTAGTCTAGGTTCTGTCGATTAGTGGCTTTTGTAGGCAGATGTTTTCACATCAGTAAGCAGCTGAGAAGATGGGGTAATGTCTCACTCGCAGGACTTTGAGAGAATAAAATGTGGGAAGTTCTTACCATAGTGATTTTTTTTCATCCTGAAAACTCAAAGTGATTTTAAAATACTAAAATAAAATACAGTTGTGCTTTATATAGTTTCTTACGCTGTTCGGTATGCCTGTTACTTTAAAGTTAAAAATATTGTCATAACAATCACTTTGATTCTTGACCCTTTTGAAATGTAGCCTTCTATTCCACCAAATTTAATTTTCTCCTAAAAAATTAATTGGCCTTTAAATACCTGTTTTCTGATTATCAAGATAAACTTTTTTTTAAATCATGAGCCCTGGGATAAAGAGAGGTATGGTACAATAAAAGGATTCTGAAAAGGGGTCAACAGAAGTAGGTTTTCCTCCCAGTCTGACCCAGTCTGTCTCAGGACCTTGGGCAAGTCATATGGCTTTTCTGGCTTCCTCTTCTCTAAGGTGTTTTAGGCCCTAACCTGAAGGCTCATGGAGAATTGTTTCAAAAACTGAATTTAGCACATAGAAAAACACTGGTCTATATTACGTAATAAAAACAAAACAGAGACTGCAGTCAAGGTGGAGGATCCAGTAACAGCTGCTCAGCCAATGATATGTGCAGTGATTAGTCCTGTTGGATACAGTTTCTTAAATTGTTTTTAACAAAACAATTTCTGGTTTCTAAGTTGATACAAATAATAGAAAAATAATACATAATTTTAAATGTATCAGATGATCTGCCCATACCTAGACTGTTGGTTCTGAAGTATTGCATGTTCTGCTTCACAGTAGGAAAGCAAAGCAAGACACATGTGTTTCACATAACTCACTGCAAGTGACCACCACCTAGGGTCAAAGGTGTGACTTGCAAGTATGTACTCCAAGCAGTTTGTTTTGGCTTTTAATTCTCGTGCTGTTGCTGTAATCTTCAAAAAACTTGTTGTAGATAGTGCTTTGCTTCATACTCATGTCGTCCTACAGTCTATCAAAAACCAACAGACTCACTTCTGAGACTGAGAATTATCAGTTGAGAGCAAACAGTAGTTGTCCATGCAGTAGATACAAAGACAGCAATGTTTGGTAGTGTTTTTCATTTTAAGTTTGAAAAGTAAATTTGGATTTTTTTTCCTCATTCAGGAAAGTAATACAAGCTCATTATAGATTTGGAAAAATTACAGAAAGGTACATAGTTCATCAGTCTCCCCCATCAGTTTTTTCCTAAGGAAAATCACTCAGAGAAAAGCAATACTAGCATTTTGGTGAAATTCCTTCTAGGCTTTTCCTTTTCCTTTTATATATATAAAAAATTGAGATTATATCATATAACAGATTTTTTTCCTGCTAAGAACCTTTCTCCAGTGTCAGCCAAAAATTATTTGTAAGTTATATTTTAATGCATGCTAAGATATTCTACTTTGTGGCTACTTTATGCTTTATTAAACAACACCCTGTTGTTTTTAGGTTTTATGCACAGGTTGGTAGCAAAGAGTTATTTGTTTACTACATATGGTGGTCTTAACCTATACTCAAATAGGCTGCATTCTTTGTTTCTTATTATAAATGCCTTTTGGCTGCTATGAAATATCCCTTCATTTTCACTTTTGACTCCCACAAAAAGAAACGCTTCTTGCTAACTCTCATTCATCTCTCACATCTCTTTCTTGCCCTTTCATTGGATTAGTTCCTCATCCAGCACTCTTCATTCTGCCCACATAGAAACACAAGCACCTGTGTATTTATTCCTGTAAATCCTCAGTTACATTGGTTTTTACTTTTCTCATTTATTTCAGTCATCTCTCTCATTTTTTTTTCCCATGTGTGACTTTCTTTTTTTTTGGCATTGCTGAGACTCCAACCCAGGGCCTCAAAGTTTGCTAGGCAAGTGCTCTGCCCCTGAACACTAAATTCCCAGTCTTTAACTCTATCTTTTCCTTTCATTTTAGTTTTTTTTTTTTTTTTTTTTTTTTTTGTGCTTTATGGAGAGGAAGTTTCTTGAAACTTCTTGATGAGAGTAGGTTTTTGTAATGGAGGCAGAAAACAATGGTCATACCCTTTAGAGGTCTCCTTCCTCTGGTATTTTGATCACAGATGGATATCAGTATTGACGAATAGCAAAGAAGAGGCCCTAACCATGGCCTTCCGTGGCGAACAGAGCACAGGGGAGAACAGCTTAGAAGATCTGACAAAAGCCATTATTGAGGATGTCCAGCGGCTCCCTGGGAATGACGTCTGCTGCGACTGTGGCTCGTCAGGTATTCATCCCCATACTTGTTAAATGTCCTGTTTTCCTGTACAATGTAAAATGAGCCTTCTCTCTTACAGACACACTTAGATACACCCACAATGTGCATTTTCCCACCACTGAGCTGCTCTTACCTATGCTGTTTTGTCTGCATAGATGGTTACCTGCCACAGTGCTCCCTTTCCAATAGGGTCAGTTAAATAAGTACTGGAACATATGGAAAGATCACAGAATATGGTTTCCACATTTTAAATCAAAGTCTACTACTCAGGACAGTCTCATGCCAAGCTCTTTGCTATTCTGATCTGCAGGTACCTAACCCTAAAAATGGGATAGCGGATCTCTCATTATAAATACTTGACAAAATAGTGCATATAGAATCAGCTGGCATATGACACAGTGAAGCCCTCCCCAACCTCTGTATCATAGTGGTCTCCCCTTCCCACAAACTTCTGTTTTCAGGTGCATTGTATTACCAATGAATGTATCATCAGTAGCTAACATCTGTGGAGTGGGTCCACTATACTAAGGATTGTGCTAGGTATTTTGCTTGTATGATCACAATGAATCCTCACCGAAGCTCTGTGAGCAAGATGCTAATATCTTCATCTGTAAGAGGAGAGGTTAAGCCAGGTGCTGGTGGCTCACGGCTGTAATCCTAACTACGCAGGAGGCAGAGATCAGAAGGATCGAAGTTCAGAGCCAGCCCGAGCAAATAGTTTGCAAGACCCTATGTCAAAAAAACCCATCACAAAAAAATAGGGCTGATGGGGTGGCTTAAGGTATAGGTCCTGAGTTCAAATACCAGACTGCAAAAAAAATAGAGAGAGAGAGAGAGGTTAAATGATTTGCTTAATGTCACACAGCTAGTAGGGGTGTGACAGAAATCCAAATCTGTTGTTTTGTTTTGTTTGTTTTGTGGCTCTGGCTGCAGAGCCTTAAGTATGCTAGGCAAGCGCTCTTCTGAGCTCCATCCCAGCCTTGTGATGTACTTATTATTTTACTTATGACACAGAACTTCCCTACACAGGATGCCTTAAGCATCTCAGAGAGCCATCTCGGTCATTTTCTGCCATGTTCAGATATTTGTGGCCATAGCAGAGGAGTATTGAACACCCAGACTGACCAATCAAAAGAAAGAACACGGAGAACCCTAAAGATTTTAGTGACATAGAAATAATTGTTCCCACTGTTCTAGAACCCTCCTAGATTTTAGGGAAAAAAACCATAGTGCGCTGATAGAAACAGTGTTCAGTATTTACAGCTATCTTTTTACCAAGCAGAGCTGTAAAGAAGCCATAACCAAGAATAATGGGTTGAAATTAGTTGTAAAATGGAAGTTAATGACAGCTTCAGACACCAGTCTCGTGTTGCAGTACTTAATAAGCCTTCAACTCTCTCTCTGTCAAGGATGGCAATGACAGTACGGGAACCCCTCTCAAAAGGCCTGAGGACATTGAATAGAATCTCTTAGGAAACAGCTTCCTCAAATTTCTACAGAGATTAAGCGTTTAATTTTAGTTTTAATTCAGTGTTGAAAGGAAACTTTTATAATCATCCCTAGGCTAAACCATAAGTATCCATGTCTTCCACTTAAGTCTTTCTCTCATAATAATTCTTAACAAGGTTTCTTGTTTTAGTTTCCTCACACATACAGTTGGCACACTAAATTAGCTATCTTGTTTGTTTTATCAAATTCTTTCCACAGAACCCACGTGGCTTTCAACCAACTTGGGTATTTTGACCTGTATAGAATGTTCCGGAATCCACAGGGAAATGGGGGTTCATATTTCTCGCATTCAGTCCTTGGAACTGGACAAATTAGGAACTTCTGAACTCTTGGTAAGTCTTGACCTGTACTTTGGAAGAGAACTTTAGGTTTATCGTCCTGAGTATATTTAATAGATTGCTTTGGGTTTTTTGTTTATGCTGAATGCAAAGAATCCTTATTTCTAAATTTTATGAATTTGTTTAGGTATTTAAGTTTTAACTTTTGTGATGTGTAATGGTTACCATTTCTCTTTCCTGCTTGAAGAAATGGTGACTCAAATTGAAACTGGCTCTTCTCTTTTAGAATGGGCTTCTTTAAAGTAATTTTTTTCTCTGGGAATTGGTTTTTATATGGTTCCCTTGAACAGCAGTTAAGAGCACATGCTCATATTACCTAGTGGTTTTATGTTATTAAAACGAATGACTGAAAAGTTTTTCCAATTTTAATTTTAGTGCCTTGTATGTTTAGAAAAGTGCACATGAATTGGGGATGGCCTGTTAACTACTATCACCAAAATCCTTAACCCATAACCTCTTCAGGTAGTAAAGGAATAAATTGTATATGATGTTGTGGTACTTAGTGTTATGATGAAAAAATAAACGCTTAAGGTCGTTTTCTTCAATCACTCCCCCCCCCCATTATGATTCACCCAAATTTGGAGCCCTCATCAGCTCCAAATTAAATTGGTCCTTGTGAGAAACTAAAAAAAAAAAAAAAAAAAAGGAAGGTCCCCTTGGCATCCCCCGTAATGCCTTGAGATCATAAGTCTTGTCTTGTTAAATTTTAACTCGGGTTCACTGTGAGAGAGTCTTTGTACTAAGAATGAAAATTTTAAAGTAAAATAGAACGCCTCAGTCTCCCTTGAGCAGAATCTGAGTGAACAGGAGCTCAGAAAAAGCTGGAAACCTAGCTTATCACTAGCCTTGACTATTGAAAAGCACCGGAACATCAGGGCAGTTAGTTGCCCAGCTGCAGTCCTTGCCATCTGAGCAGCCACTGAATAATGTTCTGTCTTGTGTTGTATGAGCTTTTTCATTTAGGAAGTAGGAAATTATCATGCTGATACTTGACTGCCTATTTCACTTTAGGATTATTGAGAAAAGGCTTGTCAGACCTAATACCTGGAACACGTTCTCTTTTAGTACAGAATGTTGTTGTGCCGTCTCCTTGGCTTGTACAAATGAAATCCAGTTTGACATGTAGAAACAGGAAAGTCCAAATACTAAATTTTTGCTGTGCAATAAAACCAGAATTTTTCTAGCCAAATACCTGCTTGCATGAATATTTCTTAAGCTTTACATCCATTTCAGAATTTTATGAAAGAAAGACCTTTCAGGACAGATTTTCCTGGAAAGATCTTGAACCCAGATGCAAAATACCTCTTGGGTGCTCCTATTCTACCCATAGCATCTTAATCTGTACCCATATAGGAAGTAATTCCATTTTATCTTCTGCCCACTAGGAGGAAACTGGTTTAATATAGACGATGCATGCTGGTGGCTGAGTTTAGACTAGACTCACCTGTGGAGCTTGTCTAATCTCTGAAAATACATATGTAGGACCAGCTCCTATTCTCTTCTGGCATTTATCAATTATTTATAGACATTATTGACTTTCTTGTCATTTGGCCAATCCCAATAGACTCAGAACACCTGTGGAAAAGGAACAAGGTTTACCACTTCTAGCATTCACCTCAAAGTTCAGTGTCTGGAACATGAGAGATGCTTAGTAAATTTTTCTTGACCAAATGGGTGGATGTTTGTGTTCTGAATCAAATGAAGGAAAATATATATCAGAAATCTCAAAAGCAAATAATAGAAAACCACTTTCAACTAGTAGCAAAGAGCTTACTGTATTGTGTTTTGCTTACATTACAGCTGGCCAAGAATGTAGGAAACAATAGTTTTAATGATATTATGGAAGCAAATTTACCTAGCCCTTCACCAAAGCCCACCCCTTCAAGTGATATGTAAGTATTTATAATACACTGAAATATTTACCTTCTATAATTGTTTTTCTATCATCCCAAAATATCTTAGTGGTCATAATATTTTTTCCCATTATTAGGGAAAATCAGAGCAAAGAAAAAGTGTTTTGAGAGCTTAGAGGTATGACTCAGGTGTTAGAGTACCTGCCTAGCAAACATAAGGCCCCAGTATCACCAGAAAACAAAAAGTGTTGCGAATGTGTTTCTGGACTACATAGATCCTTTTTAACAGCGTCTTCCCCTGGGTAGTTGCAGATGAGCACCTGCTCTGTACAGCATAAATCTTCATGAGAATGGTTATCTCTCAGTCATGGCATGTTATGATAAATAAAACATACAAAGACACTGGGAGATTCCTGTCAGGTTGGCAAAAATCCGAATGCTTAATAGCCCACCTCAGCAAGTCTGTGAGGAAACAGACATCTGTCTAATTAGTACAGTATAAAAAACAAATTAGCCAGAATTTCCAAAATTATAATTCTATTAATATTAACCTTTTGACTCAGCTGTCTCACTTTTGGAAATTTATTCCTATTCTCTGACAGAAAAAGATTAGGTGAAAAAGCAAGTGCTTACTGATAGGCATCTGAGTACATCTGAGTACATACTATGAGTCCAGTACAGCCAAGCAGTGGAACATTACACAGATGTAAAGCATCTCCGGTGTTATTGTTGAGTGTTAAAAAGCAAAGTTCAGACCACTGTAGAAAATAGAGTTGCCTTTGGAGAATGGAAGGATGGAGAGAATTATACCTAACCCCTTTTGATCCAGACTCACTGTCCAAACTTTGAAATTTTGGCTACATTTGTTGATAAATCTTTCCTTTTGAACCCTTACAACTCAGTACCTAGACTCAGAAACCAAATAGATTTGCATAGTAGAGAACGCATAGGCATGTATTTGTTAGTCAGTTTTGCATTGCAGTGTCGAAATGAATAAACAACTTCAAAGAGGAAAGATTTGTCTAGGCTTACAGTTGTAGAGGTTTTAGTCCGGAGCTGAATGGCACAATTCCTATGGGCCTGACTTGATGAAGCAGAATTTCATGATGGAGTATAGTGGAGGAAAGCTGCTCGCCTAATGGAAGCCAAGAAGCAGAGAGAGCAGGAAGGGGCTGGGGACAAGGTACATCCTTCAGAGGCACGCCCCCAGTGACCCACTTCCTCCAATCAGGCACCACCTTGTAATAGCCCATTCAGCCATGAATCTATCAATAGGTTAAACCATTGATAAGATTGGTACCCTTCTGATCCAGTCACTCCTCAGTGACAACAGAGGCTGGAAACCAGACCTTCACCACATGAGCCTGTGGGGGAAATTTCATATCCATACTGTAACTATATATATTTATTGAATTTGTCTTTGATCAAAGCAATTGAAAGTACACAAGAAACCACTAAAAGCATGTACTCTGGCATGGGAGCAGACATGAGACTTCACAATAAACACTTTTTGGCATCACTTTTATTTTTGAGCCTTGTAAATCTATTAATCTCCCATCCAAATACTAATCGGGCCCAGTAACTCTAGTAATCTGTTTAGAAAAATATTAATTGAATTTACAGTTAAGTTTTGTGAGGGGTGGGGGGGCACTGGGAATCAAACTCAGAGACTTGTGCTTGCTAACCACTCTCTACCGCTGAGTCACACCCCCAGTCCCTGCAATTGAAACTTCTTAAGTGCTTTGGATAAATAAGAGAGAAGAGATTAATTCTAACTCCCATGGTCAGGGAAGACTAAAATAAAGTGGCTGCGAAGTAGATAGACAGCATCCTAAATGTTTTGCTAGCCCTTCCGTAGATACTAAATTTGCAAAAGTACGGAAATTATTATGAGCACATTCAGTCTGAAATCATGAAATTCAGTCTCCCAGAAGGCCTCTTGGCAGTGGTGCTTTCTTGAATTTACAGATGTTTACTGGGTGCAAACTGTGCTGGGGAAAAGCAAAAGACAAGCTCCAGGTAACCTTGCCCTCGTGATACCGAGGGTCCTGAGGGAAGGAAATTAAGCAGGTCATTGTTAAGTCATGGTTGTGGCAAGAGTCACAGAAGAAGAGTTGTGGGTTGTCCATGTTGGGGCATGAATAACACTCTAACCTCATCTGTAGTATCATCCTTCCCCAAAAACGGCTTCAGTGTCTTTTTCACACTTGTAAGCACAAATTACCCAGAGAAATGAGGCTTCCAGAAGTTAATTTGATCATAAACATCGAGAACATGAGTCTAAAGCTGCTCTACCAGCTTTCCAGCAGTAAGTGCGCAGCACATACACGGTGTGACCTGGTCCCACGCCAGCATCTTTAAGTGCCCATGTGACCTTGAAAGCTTTGCTTTGGGATAGAGTTGAAAGGCACACTGTGGACCTCAGACCACAGCTCTGCTAGTTCCTGAACTCTGTGAATTTGGGCAAATAACTCTACCTGTCTAGGCTTCAGTTCCCTCCTCTGAAAAAATATGTCTACCTCTTGGGATTGTGGTGAGGATTAATGGCTTAAATTTTATACTTTTAAAAAGTACAGTAGGTATGTAGGTGTATAAGTATTTATGTCTTTATTTCTATTATTTTCTTATATGACCAAATATCTAGAGAAAACAAAGTGAATTTCCTATAACACAGTTCATTCATTTGTTCATTCAACAAATTCTTTTGTTGTAATGCAGTCTCACTAGGTTACCCTAGCTAGTCTTGAACTCATGAGCTCAGATGGTTCTCCTGCCTCAGTCTTCCGGGTACCTGAAAGTACAGGCATGCACCACTGCACCCAGCTCATTGAACAATTCTTGCTATGTAATGTTTATGTTCTTCACATTGTTTTGGATACTAAAACATTGTTTTGGATACAGTGGCAAACAAGACAAAGTTCCTGTCCTTACATTATACTCGGGAGAGGAAAACCCAGAAAATAAAGAAGCAAATAGAAATCATATTAAAACAGAACAGGATGAGCTGACATTTTAGATGTTAGATGGTACCCTTCTCCCCACACCCGTGCCCCAGATGATACTTGGCAGGGTCTGGAGATAGTTTGTCGTCATGACTTGGGCAGGGGCCTCTGGCACCCAGTGCATGTAGATCATGGATGCTGCCAAGCATGCTATAGAACGTAGAAAAGCTGTCCACACGAAGAATTACCCAGCCCCCAGGCCAGGGTGCTGAGCTGGAGAAACCCAGCTGGAGCCGATGTGTGCGGAGGCAGGGGGAGAGAGCTTGGGAAGAAGCTGATGAGTCAGATCCTCAGAGAAATGGAGGCAAATTGGGTGAAGGTGGTAGTGACAGAGGAGAAAAAAAGAAAAAGTCGTTGAATTCTCCCTCAATATAGTGTGAAGAAAGAGCCAACAGGATTTGCTGACTAGTTTATATATGGGACATTTAAAGAAATCATTAAGACACCCAGGGTTTTTTGCCTAAGCATCTTGGTAAGTGGACAGTACCATTTGCTGAAGTAGGGTGGATAAGGAGGACCAGGTTTGAGGGGACAGAGGATGAATGCTGTCTTTAATGTACCGTAGGACTAGAATTCTGATCTGAAATTCTAGAATCAGTTTTTACCCTCCCTATTGTTCCAATGTCAGAAAGCCTGTAATTGTCAAGGGACTGTGAACCAAGTGCCTAGAAAGTTCTCATGAGAGCTACACAGGCTTCCTGTGACCACAGAATTAGAGACTCAAGAGTGGAGGTGATCTTCACAGTGACCCAGGTGATGTGTGATATCTGAGTGCCCTCTATATCATTGCTGCCAAATTACTGGTGTTGTCTGCATATTAATTCAGTGCAGGACACCGCCTGCAGACCTTGCTGAAGCTTAGCTAACATAATGCACTGAAAGCTCTCCCTCCCCACAGCTTCCCATCATGATCCTGGCTCTGCCCTTGTGGAGCAATAGGAAGGAAGCATTCAAATGAGTCCTTCACCAGTGCATCATTCTTTGTTCCTGACGTACATACACTGTTGCTTCCCTGGAAGGTAGTAAATAAGGCGTATATGGTTACTAATTATGAACTTTATAGATGAGAAAACTGAGGTGCAGAGAGAACTCTAGGGTCACATGGATTGTAAGTGGTATCAGACTCAAATCAAGTCATTCAGTTCCTAAGTCCAGTGCTCCACACAGTATCTGCCTGTCACACTTCATGTTTGTCACATGCAGTAGGACATTCAGAAGCCAGGCTTGGGCCATTCTTTCAGCTATCTGGGGTCTTCTAACACATCGGGCTGTGACCATCCTAAAAGGACTTTGACCTAAGTATACACCTGTAAGTGCAAGATCTTGGTTACTTAGCAGAAGCAACAAGCACAAGGTTGAGAAAAGACCAAAAGTTGTGTGCCCAGCTCAGTTCTTTTGACTGCCAACCAAGAATGAAAGAAAAAGGCATCTGCCCAGCTTTAAATAGCGCTGTCTGGCTATAGAATGTGGGAGGTTAACAGCAGGTACCACAGTGTGGAGGCTATTTCTGAGTGAGAACCAAGGAAGGAAAGAAACACCTGTTAGGTGCTGGACATTCTTTCACTCTAAACATACCAGTGAGTTGTGTCCGTTTTCTAGTGAAAAAAAATTCTGAAGCTTATGAAGATCAAGTACTTTGCCCAAGGCCATACAGCTGGTATGCTATAGATCTTGGATTTGAACCCAAACTCCGTGTACTGTTTCTTCTTCTTCTTCTTCTTCTTATTATTATTATTATTATTATTCATCGGCTTATGTAACTGGGAAATTCAAGGGGGTGGGTGTTCAGGTATCACTGGATGTGGATGTCAAACAGTGTCATCTGTACTTTAGTTCTCTCTCACTATCTCCTTTGTCCTTTCCTCTGAGCTGATTTCCATTTCAGTCTTCCCCCAAAGGTGACAGAGGTAATCACGGGGCCACTTAGGATCTGTCCTTACCTTTTTAGCTGGGAGGTGGGCTCATCCCACCAGGACCTTGAGCTGAAGTGGAGAAGGTAATTCTGCAAGAAAACGTGCCGCTCTGATTAAGTTGTCCATGCAGCTCCTGCTTCCAGCCTGAAACCCGTGCAGGGAAGGCAGCTGTTCGGCATCCTGGGGGTGGGGCAAGCTCATTGTTGGCCTTTCTGAGCCTTGGGCCCCTCACCTGTGAAATAGGGGCTAGATCAGGAGACCAAACCCTCTCCACAAAACTCTAAAATCTTTTAATTATTCTTTTAGGATTTTTTAACCTCTTAAAATTTTAAATATTTTCATACACTTTTGTGTTTCTGAGTTTAAAGTAATAGCAAATTTCTCATATCATTGGTCAAAGTGAAAGAGAAATCTACTGTGATCTATGTACCCATGAATTTTCTCACTGTATATTACCTGCATATACCAGTAAATATGTATCATTTTCTTCATTCTGTGTCTTAGAATAACTTGGCCTAAAATCTGGTTTGTTTGAACATTGAAAAGAAGCAATCTTAATTAAAATATCTTCCCAAAGAAAAAGATTTGTCAAGAAAATATAAAACTTTCTTAGCCCTTAGAAAATAAAAATTGTCTGGTCATTTGTGTTCTGTTTTAGGACTGTCCGTAAAGAATACATCACTGCGAAGTATGTAGACCATAGGTTCTCAAGGAAGACCTGTTCCTCTTCTTCAGCTAAGATGAATGAATTGCTTGAGGCCATTAAATCCAGGGATTTACTTGCACTAATTCAAGTCTATGCAGAGGGAGTAGAGCTAATGGAGCCACTGCTGGAGCCTGGACAGGTAAGGCCTCACTGAAATCACAGGATAAAAAAAGTTAGTTTAAATGATCACTTACATTCTTCTAGCGTGAAGTAATGATATTCTTGTACATTGGTTGGGCAAACATGTCTAAGTCAAGAGAATTTGAGAGTTTCATTAGGGTCCTCCTAATAATCACTTGGGGCTTCCAATGTGGGTGAAGCTGCTGGAGACAAATGGACGTATCACCGTGTTTATACTCATGCTTGCCTTCTCAGGAGCTTGGAGAGACAGCCCTTCATCTTGCCGTCCGAACTGCAGACCAGACATCTCTCCATCTGGTTGACTTCCTTGTACAAAACTGGTATGACTTTTGTTTTCTCTGTTGAATTAGCACAAATCAGTCCCATCAATGGCCTAGATCAGGACCCAGCAAGCTTTTTCTATAATGAGTCTGATAATCAAATTTTAGGTTTTGCAGGCCATGAGATCTCTATTTACCTCTACCTTTGTTGAATGAAAATTGCCATAGATAATATGTGAATGAGTGAGCACAGCTATGGACTCAATAAAACTTTATTTACAAAAACAGGGCAGGCCAGCTATGCCCTACAGGCTATAGTTTGCCAATGCCTGGCCTCAGTAAATCCTGTCTCTGTGTCCCAAACCTTGTTGCACTACGAGAGGCTGAAAGAAGACTTAAAAGCCTAGGTTAGCCAGCTCATGAGTTTTCATTGTTCTTAAGTTTAATATAGGGCAGCAAAGCTAGTGCAAGTGAGAGATATACTGATAGGCATGTAAGGCTGAATATGGGAAGTTTGTTCCTGGTGAATTCTTGGGTTGTTCTCTAAGCAGCAGATTCTGAGAAGGAGCTGAGATCATCTAGAGGAAAGTGATCATACAGGCAGGGTCATTGTACCCACAGAGAAAAAATGGTGCAAGGACATAGTCAAATTGTCTAAAGGTTCAGTCCTTGGGCCGAGTACTGGTGACTCATGCCTGTAATCCTATCGTGAGATGAAGGGAATCACAGTTCCAAGCCAGCCAGGGCAAATAGCTCTTGAGACCCTATCACAGAAACAGGCTGGCAGAGTGGCTCAAGCAGTAGAGCACATGAGACCCTGAGTTTAAATCCCAGTACCACCAAAAAAATTTCAGGCCTGTTCCTTAGAGGTAATATAGCAGTAACATAGTGGTTTAGACCATTGGCTGCAGAGACAGACTGCCTGCCTGATGGTAGGCATTCAAATCAATTCTGGTCATTACTATCCATCTGTCGCTTATAAATTCAGGTTAATGTTAGAACAATTTTCCATGTTTATAATAAGTGGTTATAATGCCAGATATAATGGCATGCATGTTGTCCTGGCTACTTGGGAGGCTGAGGCAGGAGAATCACAAGTTCCAAGCAAGAAATAAGTAGTTACAGTATTCTCCCATTTATTTGTAGTCAACTGTCTTCTGAAGATAAATGTAAAATTCTTGAAATGAACAATTCATATGAATTAAACATGTTTTAAAGAATTACAGCATATTGTTATAATTATTCTATTATTAATCTCTTAGTGTGTCTAATTTATCATTTGTCTGTTGGTATGTATTTAATCTGCTCTTAGGTACTAGTATATATATCGAAAAAGGCATAGTGTATGTAGGGTTAAGTACTGTTTGTGTTTTCAGTCATCTGCAGAGCTTTTCAGAACATACATACCCACAGATAAGGGAGGAGCTGCCTCTAATAATAGCTTTAAATTGTAGACTAAGTCATTTTTCTAATGGCATTGTGGTTTTCAGTGGGAATCTGGACAAGCAGACATCCTTGGGAAATACAGCCCTACACTACTGCAGCATGTTCAGCAAGCCTGAGTGTCTGAAGCTGCTTCTCAGGAGCAAGCCCACCGTGGATGTTGGTGAGTGTCGCCAGTGTCTCCAGTAACCATCCACAGAGCGTTCATTCAGTAAAAATGAGGCTTGCATGTTATTTTGTAACTGAGTTACTGTTCCTTGCCTTTTTAAGATGTACCCTAGATACCTATGCAGGCTTATTTTTCCCCTATTTCAGTTAACCAAGCTGGAGAAACTGCTTTGGACATAGCAAAGAGACTAAAAGCTACCCAGTGTGAAGATCTGGTAAGCAAAAATGGATGTGGAGACTTAGTAGACACCGACTTCCTTTAAAATGTCTTTCTGAGAGTGGAATTGGAGATAAAAGCAGCATATTTATTGTTTTTTAAACATTGGCTAAAGAAGTTCAGACAAGTACCAAGCTGCCTTTGAAAAAGTAATGAAATAGGACCTTTGTCATCCATGTGTTTTGAGTGCACTGTGACAGTGGAAATGAAAGCCATTTGAGAGGCTGTTTTACTAGAGGGGATCGTGGATTGAGGTCATGCTTTTTATTTGCTGGCTTTCTCTGTAGATACAGTAAAGAATTATTTGGGAAGCCACTTCCAGCATTGGGCAAGTAGAGCTCAGAATGTTATGCATATGTTCTCCCATACATTCACCATCCTTCTATGCACTCTCACCCTTTTTGACCCCACCAGTTCTTGCTTAATAAGCTGGGCTTAGAGTTAGCATGATTCTAACAATTGTGTCTTTAGTCTGTTCTTCTGTTGCTGATAATACAATAACACAGACTGGGAAAGTTATAAAGAAAACAGATTTATTTTGGCTCACAGTCCTGTTCAGGGTCGAGAGGTTGCATCTTGTAGTGGCCACCTTTCTTCCTAAGGATGTCACATTTGGGAGACAAGAGATCATATGTGTGTATTCTAATCTTCTAACTCCACCACTATTCAGTCATGGGGCTCCTCACTGATGACATGACCTTATCCTAAACACCTCCCAAAGACCTCACCTCCAAACACTATATTCCAATTAACTTCTCACCCTCTTATTTAACATAATGGACCAGTCCTGGTAGCATACTCAGGAGGCTGAGGCAGGAGAATTATAAGTTCAAGGTCAGCCTGGGCTACATGACAAAACCCTATCTCAAAAAAAAAAAAAATTTGTAACATGAGTTTCAAAAGGGACAAACTAAACCATAGCACACAAGAAAGGAAGAAGTAAGAAAGAGAAGTTACATTCCCTCAAGCTTCTGCTGAATACTAAGTTCTAGACCTGACAGTTGTACTTTTATTCTGTTTTATTTTCTTTTATTTTGCTTTGTTTTGTTTTTGATACGGGGTCTTGCTGTGTAATTCAAGCTAGCCTCAAACTCAAGATCCCTCTGCTTCTGCCTCCTGAGTGTGCCATCTTGCCTGCTGGCTGTACTTTGTATTCTTAAAAGAATCCTTTAAGACAAGTGTCCCTGTCTACTTTTTATGAATAAGAACCACTCTCCCCCGGTTGGGCTGGGGCTGTGAAGGCCTACTTCGCAAACTTATCAGACTTAATTCTGTTCTCCAGCCAGGAATATGCAGTTCTGAGACTCATGGTAATAATAATAATAAAGCTTTTAATTTAAGAGAAAAGTCAAGTTGTCAAAATCAGAAAGTCTCTGCCTGCAGTTCTTGGCATTCCCTGAGCCCATGGTGACAGCCTTTCCAGTCAGAGTTGTGCCTAAGTGCAGTTATTGGTGATCCACTTAAAACCAGAAATGAGGGATTTGCTCAATGTTTGTGTAATACTGGGTTGTTTTGTCGTTTCATTTACATGGTATACACATGCTGTTCCTTCCAGCTTTCTCAGGCTAAATCTGGAAAGTTCAACCCACACGTCCATGTAGAATATGAGTGGAATCTTCGACAGGAGGAGATGGACGAAAGTGATGATGATCTAGAGGACAAAGTGAGTGTGAAGGGTGCCCTCAAGTCTCCCCCACCCTTCTCGGTCTTTCTGCACTGTGTGGACAGAGCACTTCATTGTGAGATGATTGATTTTGGTCTGATGACCTGATCTACCAGGACCATCGCCGTTGCCTGGTCTTTGATTCCCATTGAGCACCAGTTAACAGCTGTATTAGTCAAGGTTCTCCAGAGAAACAGAAGCATTCGGATAACTAAGGAGAAAAGAAATGTATTTAAGGTATCGCCTCACATGATAGTGGGATCTGGCAGGCCAGCAGGCTGCAGATCCCAGCAGGAGTTGCTGTGGCAAAGTTGAAGCTGGCGGCAGAATTCCTTGCTCTTCACAGGACCCTTGGTCTTTTCTCTTATTCCCTTCACCACACTGCATGAGGCCCACTAACATTTTGGAGGGTAATCTAAAACCTGGTGATTCAAATAGTAATCTTAAAAAATGCCTTTACAGAAACATCTAGATTGGTAGTTGACCAAACGCTGGGACACCATAGCCTCACCAAGTTGACACATAAAAATAACCCTTCAAAACAGCTAATAAATACTAACAGCTGTCATTCGTATAGTACCTAAATATGGACCACGGTTTATGAGCTTTACTTATGTTATCTCAGACCATCTTTACTGAAAACCCATGATACTGTTATTGTCTTCACTTTACAGAAGAGAAAACCTAGGCACAAAGAGAACTTAGCAATTTGTGGAAAGTCTCATAGCTGGTAAAGACAGTCTCTGGGATTAAACCCAGTCTCCATGACTCCCATAGGTAGTTCTTAACTACCTCTGTAAGTTTATTCATACATAAATCATCAGATGTGTGCCGGCTGTTCCTTCTGGGCCAGGCAGGATGTGAAGAATGTTCAGACAAGTCCTGTAGCCATTTTGCACTTCAAAAGGAGATAAGTGATCATGTAGTGTGGTACCTGCTAACACTGAGGGCTTGAAGTATTCAGAAAGCCAAGCAGCTCCTCAGCCTTGGCACACAGCGAGGATCCTGTCAAAGAAATTGCACTGGAGGACGGGCACTGGTGATCACACCTGTAATCCTAGCTACTCAGGAGGCAGAAATAAGGAGGATCGTGGTTCAAAACCAACCCCTGGCAAATAGTTTCATACCCTGTCTCAAAAGTACCCATCACTGAAAAGGGATGGCAGAGTGGCTCAAGATGAAGGCTCTGAGTTCAAGCCCCAGTACCACCAAAAAAAAAAAAAAAAAGAACAAAGAAATAGCACTAGAGATGGGTTTGAGGGTAGTTGGGCACGGGCCAGTCAAAGAAGTGGAGGGGATGTATCAGCCCAGGAGGGAGAATGATATGGGCCCCAGCTAGGGCTCATGGCAGAGCCCAGGTGTCTGATGACAGAGGAGAAGCACCATGTGTGAGGAGCATCCTCTGGGAGGGTGGGGGAGCTCCCGCATGGAGTCAGACAGGCCTGGCCTTTTGTCTTATATCCTCACAATCAGAATCCAGCTGAGGTGTTTTATCAGAAAAGCAGGTTTCCTACTAACTCTGACTAGTAAGGGGTAGTTCAGAAAGCTATTACTGCAATGGTGGGGAAGGGGACAGTGAACCCTTCATTAGGAATGGGCTTGATAGCCCTTCTGAGTCATCAAGGCAGGATGTGCGGTTGCAAATGTGGGAGGTGAGTGATGCTAAAGCCATCACAGTACACACAGCACCAGAGACACCACCAGTTGCAAATAGTTTGCAGTCTGAGAGTTCCCGTGGAATTTACAGATCTCAGTCGTCAGCTTATAGGTGGCACCTCAAAGCATAACAGAGATGAGTTTAGTTTCCAAAAAGATGTAGAGTAAGAAAAGCAGTGAAGATCGAGAACTTCAACATTAAAGCGTTCGACAGGAAAGGAACTTAGTGTAGCACTTACAGATAGGTAAAAATACTGTTCAAAAGGTGATAGAGGTGTCTGGCATGAGGAAGGTATTTGTTAATTGAAGGTTAAGTTTCACTGTGGTCTTACCCTATCTGAGTGCTCTGCTGGTCTCTAACCAGTGTTCATTAGTGGGGATGTCAGTGATGAGGATGCAGTTAGAAGGGTAATGTCTTCCCGTGGGCTATGCCGTTACTATGAGGCTCTGATGGTGGCTTACCTCACACAGTACAGAACAAGAGCCTAGTTGACCACCTGAGCCCACCCTGCAGGTGTCCTCCACACACCACAAGAACAGTCCTTGGTTACATCTCACCCACTGTTGTCTCACCTGCCAGCCAAGCCCAATCAAGAAGGAGCGCTCGCCTAGACCCCAGAGCTTCTGCCACTCCTCCAGCATCTCACCCCAGGACAAGCTGGCACTGCCAGGGTTCAGCACTCCACGGGACAAGCAGCGGCTGTCCTACGGAGCCTTCACCAACCAGATCTTCGTCTCCACGAGCACAGACTCGCCTACGTCACCCACTGCAGAACCTCCCCCTCTGCCACCTAGGAATGCTGGGAAAGGTATGAGATTGAGAAGAGCTTTGTGGCTCTCTCCTCAGAGCTGGTAGTCTGACCAGCTTTGAGGGAAGAATTCAAGGTATATTTGAGTGGCAGAGATTGGAACGTATTTTCAGGGACAGCATGAAATGGGGACCTTGCCATTTGCCAGGCACCAGCCAAAGAGCAGGCAGTATTTTGGGTACTGTTCATGTGTTGCCTTGTGTTAGCCTCACAGCAGTCCTGTGAAATGTGTGCTTTTGGGCCCATTTTACAGAAGCAGAAACTAAGGCTCAAAGAGATAGAATGACTTGTCCAATGTCACACAGCCACTAAATGGTACAGTTGAGATTCAGTCTGAGATCTGCGTGGCTCTGGAACCTGTGTTCTTTGTAACATAGGTAAAATTTCGGTTCTCTGAAAGGTACTTTTCTCAGCACTAAGATGAGAGAAACAGTATCTGTTGACAATGCCATAGTCATAATAGTAATTAATAGTTATGAAGAGTTCCCTCATGAGAGGCCCTAAGTCAGGCATTTTCCATTCATTGCATAGTCTGCAAATGAGGTAAGTACTACAGCTGTAGCACCATGCAGACAAGGGACTGTGCTTCAGAGATGCTGAGCAACTGCCTAAGGTTCTTAGCTACTTGGGATTCTAATCCAGGTTCTGTATGAATGAAATCCACACTTCTGTGCTCTTGGATGAAGATTGTCTTTCCCTGAGATATGAGCTGGGGAGAAATCTTGCCCAGAAGGGTGTTGTTAAGCTATGTGTTATCAGATACCTCCACAGGGCTAGCACCTCGGGCCAGTGGTCTAGCATCCTATTCTAGAGACACAAAGTGCTAGTCTTGTATCCTCTATCTGATAAGTGTGCCAGCTCAGAAAGTCAGTGTGTTCCACCTGCAAAGGGCCAGGTTGAGATCCAGAAATGCCAATATCAGGACTCACCCTAGCCAAAGGTATAGTTGAGATACACCCAGAACTGTAGCTTCAAGTTCAGGCTCTGCCTATAAACCCAAGCGTAGAATTCTTTCTGTGCCGTCAACCCATGCTAGCACAGGTTTCAGGGGCCTCTTGGTATACAATGCCATGCCTATCTGAATCACACTGGAGCTATTTTCTGGAAAATGTGAGCTTTATTCAAAAGTGTTTTTTTAGAGCTTATTCTCCATTGAAATAGTGTTATAAATGGGAGCTGTGTTCTTAGAGAGACCCCAAATGACCCCATAGATCATAAAATAAGGAAGAAAAGTTAAAGCTTTGACACAATCCGTTCTCATTGAAGATAACCACTGTTCCTAACAGTAATAGCACATGTAGCCTGCCAGTATTTTTAACCGTTCTGTACATTATACTAGAATGTCCTCTTCATAGTCACTAACATATCAAGCTGCAGAGTCATAGTGTGTGAGCAGTGGATTGTTGTTTCCCTCAAGAGCGTGGTGAGGAACCTCTAGACATAATAACATCATAGGAAAAGTGACTGAAAGAATTTGCAGGCCCTGATTGTGGTCACTGACATAGTGTGATGACCTCTCGACAGGCAAGGGCTGCCTGCACCTGTTCAGAAAACCTCCAGGAAATTGATAATCTGGAGATACTCACATTAGAGTTCTGGGGCCAACAGCCTGCCTACTTCCTCCCAGCCCTTTCTGTAGTTTTATCTCAAAGGGACAGAGAAACCATAAAATACTCTCTCTGGCTCCATGCCAAGCATATCTCGCCTGGCTTGAATAAATCCTAATCAGCTCTTTACCAAACACCCAGAAGACAAAGACTAAATTTGTTTGGTGATTCAGCTGCTGGAACTACAGCTTAAAGACTTGGACATAGAAACCATGGTCAACTAAGGATAGGCTGCTTATCCCTCCCCCTTAAAAATAAAGCCTGTAATTGAAAAAAGAAATTCCTCCCATTAACAGTGTGTCCCCTCTGGCTGTTCGTAACAGGACATCAGTTCAGAGCTTTGGCCTGTCTGTTGGCGAGACATGCAGAGGGCAGCCTCTTGTGATGGCTATAAGGCTCTGAAATGTGGCTGTCCTTGGCCAGCCCAGCTAACGTGCTCTTACATGTGGAGAACTGGCAGTGCGTAGAATGGAATTCTTAGAGGACACTATAAAGGTCAGCTGATGCTCTGCATGCAGAGATGGTTCTCTGTTTGTGGCCCCTACTTTCTTTTTCCCTCCTTCTGCTAGTGAATAGAACCATTCGCCTGAGAACAAGGCCGTCTTGATTCGTAGGTTGGATTGCTCCTTCTTCAAGCAAGGAAAGCCATGGTCTGTATTTGCAGCAGACATAATCTCCACAGTCTCGAATTTATGGATCTCCCAGGTGATGGTTTCCGGTTAGGCAGATGCACAAAGTCCCCACAAATAAGAGGAATACAAAAGGGAACAGTAGAGAGAATTCTTCTGAGCCCAGCTCAGGAATATTTTCAAGAAACTCCAGCTGCTTCATCAAAATTCAAGGAAGTTTGACCTACATTGCTGTCAAGCAAAGCCCCCTTGTGCTTGAGCAGTGCTCACGTCAGTCTTGGAAGAGCTTAATAACTCAGGATCCCAAATTCACTGGCTTTAAGGCTTATATATTTTGCTGTGTAACCCTTCTTTAGAAGGGAGGTCCAGAGAAAGTAAATGAAAATTATAAAAGGAAGTATGCAGATGTTTCTTGTGATCAGCAACTCTCCCCTTCCTCATATTTAATGTTTAAAGACTAGAAGTGCTTCAGTCTTGCTAAGATACATTTGTTTTTAATCTTTAATTAAAATAATGCCATAGAGGGCTGAGTGTGGTAGTATATGCCTATAATCCCAGTTCCTTGGGAAGCAGAGTTAGGAGGACCATGGTCCAAGGCCAGCCCAGGCAAAAAGCATGAAACCCCATCTGAAAAATAAAGCAAAAAGGGCCAGGGGATGTGGCTTAATTGGTAGAGTGCCTGCCCACCAGACATGAAGCCCTAAGTTCAAATCCTGTACCACCACCACCACCAAAAAAAAAAAAAAGATGCTGAAAGATTAACAGTCTGTATCCCATTGTATAGATAGATAAGGAAACTGAGCGCTGGACAGGGTAAGAAACTTAACTTCAAATCACATGGTGCTGAGATAGGATAGAAAATTGAAGTGGACCTTAATGGCTGTCAAACTAGGTCTTCTAGTTCCTTTTCTTTGGTGAGGAAGATTGTCCACCTTTCTCTTGCCTGGCTAATGGAGTTTTCATCAGAATCCAGTGATATAATATATGGAAAAGCATTTTGGAAAATGCAAAGGCCTGCACTGCTCTAATGACTTCATTTAGGATTGTTAGGCTGTGATTACAGACATTTCTAAGTGTGGAAGAATGTGAAGGACAGTCAGTTCCAGAGAACCCATCCCACCAAACAGGTACTTGAAAACACATTACTTACTTATGTTTGGTTGATCAGTTTAACTATGTTTTAAATAATTTTCAGCTTTAAAAGTATGACTTTCTACCATCATCCAACTTCATGCCTTTTATGTATCAATGACAAAAATTTTTTGACAAAAATTTTTATCAGACATGGAGTAACTGCCTCACTAGAGATTGCTGTAGAAGTTAAATGAGAAGTCCATGAGACATTTAGCCCAGCCCCTGGCCCCTAGTGCTTCATAGGGGACACATCTGCTGACATTGGTACCTCTGCACTCCTCCACTTTTAAGAAGGACATCCTTTGGGGAATAGGGGTCAGACTGAATTCACACACTTGCTGAATTAATGGGTGCTCCGTAGTGAGCCCAGCACTGTGTAGGCTCCTTAACTCAAAGGTTTTATTCAATAAATGATAAATACAACTTGAACTGATTTTCAAGCTGTTAGGAACAACTGATGTGCAAATCACATTGATTCATGAGATGAGGCCCCAAGAACCAGGCATCATTAGTCCCTCTAAATAGCATGTGAATACCTGCAAGTACACCAGCCCTACATTTCATACATTTCTGCAATATAATGCAGGCTTTCTACCTCAGTCAGGCTCTAGCAGTCAGCAGACGATCAAAAGCAGCACAGTGTGTGCTACACCAAAAGTCTCAGTAGATGTGCTTGATGAAGGTTTGGTACCTCAGAGAATACTGAGCCAGAGGCTGCCCTTGCCAGTGTAGACAACAAGACTAATTGCCCCTATTAATCAAAGAATATAGTGCAAGTTACAAACTAAGGTAGTTTCATCTGTGTTAAGCTAGACCACAGCTACCTGGGCATCAATGAATCCCAGAAAGCCTTATCAAATTCATCTTCTCTTCTTCCAAGAAGCTGCCTTTTGCTGGCCTCACAAGAGACTGGGATTCCTATTCCATTAGGTCCAATCCTGCCCTGTATGTGTCTCATCTGATTTTTAGATGATTCTGCTGAGTTTCAGGGTATTCATTCTGAAAAATACAGATTGGGTAGTATCTGCCTTGCTAGGTTCCTGCTTAGAGCACACACAGTAAGTGAAGTGCCTAGCATATAGCATGCATTAAACATGAATTTGCTTGATCCCAGTGCAGGTATTCAGTTCAGAAAATATTCCTGGAGGGAGATTACAGAAAAAAGAGTAAAGGTATTGCTGCCCTCCCAGAGCTCATCTTCGGGGGAGAGAAATCGTAAAATGTACCGTCAGGCCAGTAGGGGGTGCTGTGGGAGGAGCCAGGAGGAGAGGTGCTGGTTGCTGCTCTGAGGAGTGTCTTGGAGGTCTTCATTGCACTCTGTCCTGGTTAGAGACAGGAGCCCTCCAGGACAGGAGCTGTGAATGAGCCATCTTAGCAATCATAGCTCATCAGTGCCAGAGCTGATCTCCTGCACAAACAGCAACAGAAGGAATCAGTGAGAGCAAGTCCCAAAAACATGTGGCCAGGTACGGAAGGAGCACAAATAAAACTGAACCAGAGGTCCTGTGGGGTGGACGCTGACTTGGTGAGAATCTCTGTGTGAAATGTTTGCAGCAGTTACGCCAAACACAGCTGTGTGAGCATTTTATACAGAGCTTCTCCAGACCCAGAGGTCTGTTGCAGTAGAGGA